CTGACACCCTCGTACCGTTTATTCATCGCTTTCAAATCCATAGTCAGTAGATCATTTTTAAATTTCAGTTATTGTAGTGTAATATCGCGGTAATAAAAGACAAATACATAAAATGAATAGTTAAATAATTACCTGATGAAAATACTATCAACAATCAAACCGTCAACATGATCATTGGACATGGTCAAACACCGTGACTTTTCTTCCCTGCTCGGACTGCATATAGCGTAACACTTAACAGGATACTCTCGGGTCTTTTCTTTTTTCTTTCCCATCGTCACTTAAAATTTTAGTTTAGTGGTGAAGCGAGAAACACACAATGTTCAATTATTTGCATCAATGACTTTCTTCTGACTGGAATAACCGTGCAACTTGCCACCTTCCGTATTGAAAATAAACAAGTCCTCCTATATTGGTTCTTCCACCGTGCATCACGCTAAAATTATTCACCATGCATCGGACAGACGGTATTTCGATCGAAAAAAAATATCATACCTTTATCACAGTGCTTTAAAATCCTTGACATGGATATACTTTTATATTTAATCTAAGAAATAAACCTCAACTAAAGTTTAATTGACGATATCGTTGCACAAATGTAGAATGATTCAAGATGCCCTCCTTTGCCTTAGAAATGCTTTAAAATGCTTGTAATGCTGTAATTCGCGCCTTTTTCTCATGGGTAAAGTCTGATTTGGAGAAATAAATTGAGTCAGATTCTAGACGTCATATATCAGTTACTTGTATTTTGACTGAAAATTGGAGTTTTTATTTTCTATTTCCGTAAAAAACAGCTGTCAGTTGGGTTCTGTATGAAAATGGTAGTGATTACCTTTGCATCGGAAAGTGTCCGATGCATGGTTAATTTGTGTCCGATGTACGGGGAATAAACATACTAGTAACAAGCTAATTCAGAGAATTCGTGTCCCCCGCTTAGGGAAAAAGTCGGATCCCCCTGACTGAATTTGTAGAGTTATTAAATGTATACATGTATACTGAAGCAAATAAAATACATGTATGTCAATATGCATATAAAGATTTGATTGATTATTCTTTATTATGTGTATAGAAGATTCTTTTTATATGGAATATTTATCACACTGTAATGATGATTTTAAGAGTTTGTACAAGCTAGACTTCATGAATTTTTCATTTCACATGCTGAATACTATCATTTAGTAAACAAAAAAAAAAAGGGTTTAAAAAAAAAAAAAAAAAAAAAAAAAAAAAAAAAAAAAAAACAGGATCGACCGAGATACGATCCCGGGACCTTTCACATGTGAAGCGAGAGACATACCACTAGACCACGAAATCGCTTTACATAGGATTAAGTATATGCAGAACTGAAGTCACATACATGTATATATTCATGTTCGGTATTCTCAAAATTTTACACAATCCATGGTGTTTGATTTATTTAGCCTTTATTAAACAGTTCTAACAGATGTAATAAGAACATAAAGTCCGCCGAGAACCTGTTTTATACGCAGTAACTCTCCTCATGCCACAGTGCTAAAAATAGCGACATGTAATACTATAAATACTAATAAAACAAACGGGGCGGGGCACCTTGAGAGGGGTGAGAGAGGTCCTAGGGAGTTTTGTCATAAAATTATATTGCATAAGCTCAAAATCTTCTTGAAATAACGCCCGGAAATGATAGTGTTATACACAGACAGAATGTATAAATTTACGACCTTGAAAGTTGACCTTTTGACCTCAAAATCAATAGGTGTCTTCATTAGGCCACAAGGAGTTGTTATGTAAAATTTCATTGCAATAGCTCAAATGGTTTAAGAGATATCGTGTGGAAACGAAAGTGTTATAACAGACAGAATTTGCTTATTTATGACCTTGACCTTTGACCTTTTGACCTCAAAATCAATAGGGGTCTTCTTTAGTTCATAGGGAGTTGATATGCTAAATTTCATTGCAAAAGCTCAAAGGGTTCCCGAGATATCGTGTGGAAACGAAAGCGTTACAGACAGACAGAAAGACGGACGGACGGACGGACGGTCAAACCCAAATTAATATCCCCCACTTTTCAAGCTGGGGACAAAAACCAGCTCTAAAAAGAATTATACAAACACTGAAGTGAAATTTCTTTAAAATTTATGTAAAATTACCAATCTTTGACAAAATTTACCAAAGTCTGACTAGTTCCGTTGCAGTCGAATTTTAAAAAAGAACGATAACTCTAAAAATTGCTTAATCATAAGTTTCTGGTAATTCCCCTTTGATGATGTAAAATATGAAGTAATTTCAAGGCCATTCTCGGAGTATTTTTATCACAACATGATAAAAACAATCGGTATCATTTAAAAATTTAAATCTTCAGCTTCAAGTTAGAAACAAACAAGCTAATTCAGAGAATTCGTGTCCCCCGCTTTGGGAAAAAGTCGGCTCCCCCTGACTGAATTTGTAGAATTATTAAATGTATACATGTATACTGAAGCAAATAAAATACATGTATGTCAATTTGCATATAAAGATTTGATTGCTTATTCTTCATCATGTGTATAGAAGATTTCTTTATATGGAATTTTTATCACACTGTAATGATGATTTTATAACATCATAAATTTTTCATTTCACATGCTGAATACTATCATTTAGTTAAAAAAAAAAGTATTTAAAAAAAAAAAAGAAAGCTGCGACCGAGATTCGATCCCGGGAACTTTCACACTTTAAGCGAGAGACATAACCACTAGACCACGGAATTGCTTTAATTGTTGTGAAGTATATGCAGAAGTGAAGTCACATACATGTATATATTCATGTTTTCATGTTCGGTATTCTCAAAATTTTACACAATCCATGGTGTTTGATTTATTTAGCCTTTATTAAACAGTTCTAATAGATGTAATAAGAACATAAAGTCCGCCGAGAACCTGTTTTATACGCAATAACTCTCCTCATGCCCCTGCGCTAAAAATAGCGACATGTAATACTATAAATACTAATAAAACAAACGGGGCGGGGCACTTTGAGAGGGGCGAGAGACGTCCTAGGGAGTTTTGATATAAAATTACATTGCATAAGCTCAAAAGCTTCTTGAAATATCGCCCGGAAATAATAGTATTTCACACAGACAGAATGTATAAATTTACGACCTTGAACTTTGACCTTTTGACCTCAAAATCAAAAGGGGTCTTCATTAGGCCACAGGGAGTTGTTATATAAAATTTCATTGCAATAGCTCAAATGGTTCTAGAGATATCGTGTGGAAACGAAAGTGTTTTAACAGACAGAATGTGCTTATTTATGACCTTGACCTTTGACCTTTTGACCTCAAAATCAATAGGGGTCTTCTTTAGTCCACAGAGAGTTGCTATGCTAAATTTCATTGCAAAAGCTCAAAGGGTTCTCGAGATATCGTGTGGAAACGAAAGCGTTACAGACAGACAGAAAGACGGACGGACGGACGGACGGACAGACGGACGGACGGACAAACCCAAATTAATATCCCCCACTTTTCAAGCGGGGGACAATAAATACACAGAACTTTAAGTTGAAAGAGAGTTTATTGCCTTAAGTTGTCCGAAGCAAGGTATGTGTCCGATGCATGGTTATCTCACCCTACCGAAATAATAATTATGTAGAGGAAAAATAAAAAAAAATGCTAACGCGCGGTATTCATTTTGTCGGCACGGCCGCGTGTAATATAGGATCGAAGACATCCCAAAATATGAATTCAATGCTTAATTGTCTTTCCTTCGAACGAAAAGTCCACGAAAAGGATTCTTATTAATATCTATTCATCATCCATGGTTAAAAATGAAAAACAGAATTGTGATCAATACAGAAACAATAAATGCTTGAGAGTAAAGAATTTCGATTAAAGAGGAACCTATTCTCACAAATTACGGCAATGACATAAAAACTAATCAAGATTTTGAACATACTTATTATCTTATATAGTATTTACAAAAGTAATTTACGTCCTTTTGGATCCCACAGTCCACTTCTCCAAAATTGATTTTCTTTCAGTCCCAATTGTCTTTTGTATAAATCCTCATTAAAGATGGATCATTTAACATATCTATCAGATTTTTCTTAGCACAAACCACCTTTTTCGACAAGGTAATGAATTCAAAATATTTAAGCAATATACACGTACACTTGGTAATAGAACGTCTTTTTCAAAAAGCTTCGTCAAGCGCTGGAAAGTTTGAAGTTAAAGTCGCGGTCCCTTTTAAATCGAGGTGATGTGTCACATAATTGATATTCTTAATTAACGACTTAAAGAATTGACTTTTGTTGGTTTCCGAATCATATTGGTCTCGCTTAAACAATGAGATCTTAAATATTTTTTAAATACTCAATATGTTCAATACTAAGAAGATGGCACATGAGGAAAACGAATAGTATTCAATTAAGCTCAAAAGTCCACTCAAACAGTACAAATCAGGCACAGAACAAACACGAACATCTAAAACATCAGAGGTGGGATCAAGTGCCATGGAGGAGTGAAAATTCGCTGCCGATGGGTCCCAACTGCTCCTTGTCATGATCGGAAGATATTCATCGACGATTCAGTATATATGTAATATAATAACATTAGGATTAGTGTGAAAAATGACAGTCAGCATTTGACTTACATAATGTAATAATGGATTGTATTGGCTGACAACGTCATATTGTTTCGACCATAAAACTTATAAAAATGATGATTTTAAACAAGACTGCTGATATTCTTGTTCACAGGCTTGTTTGTCAAGAACTTACCTCGTTTTAGAAATTGTTCATACGTAGAACATGCTCTTGCGTATCAAATCAAATTGGAGTTATAAAATTGTATGTAGATGATAAGGATATATTGCTGCATAAGTAAGTGAAGTGAAAGGTTGTAGTAATTAGGTTTATCAAAATGCAAGCAATTCGAAAGTAAATTTGTTGAACTAATTTTTCATATTACATGAAAAAGAAAAAAAATCATTAAGCTGTTTCAATTTGTGACAAACCACTGTTTCATACAAATGTATAAATTAATGCCCAATCTCACGCGTGTATCCAGTGCATTATTTTTATTCTGTGTTTGACACCTTTATCAAGATTAACTCGCACTTTGGATAGAAATAATCAATTACTGCATAATGGTTCAATATCTGGAGGAGTGCAAGAATAGGGAAATGTTTTTGTAATTTCCAATGTTACCAATATCGTAATTGTTTTCTTCACAAAAGTGCTGGTTAGAGGAAAAATGTCTTTATACAAATGTATATGAACGTTTGTTACCAGAAGATTCCGATAGTATGCCTCCTTTAGGGGTATTAGTTCGCCGGAAATTATATGTATTTGAACTAGGTCTTGCAGGACACAACAGTTTTCGGAAGCCGTTTCTAAATTTTCTGCTGAAAAAGCAGTAAATAATTGGATTCATGCCGGAATTAGATGACCCCAACCACTGGGCAAACGGAATGATAGTATCGTGCAGAAAGTTGTTATTTGTGTCATGGAATGAAATGATCATATTTACTATGTATAAAGGTAACCAGGAGAAAGCAAACGAGAAAACCACTACCGCCAGCATTTTGACAACTTTAACTTTTGATCTTTGAATAACGTTGTTCCCTGTTCTGTTGGCACCTAGTTGTTCCCTATTCCAAACCCTAACGCAAATTCCTAGGTAGCATATGCATATTAGTATCAAAGGAATGGTATAACAACACAAGAAAATCACGCCTAAAAAGTAACCATTTCTTGCCATCTCGCTTGGCCATTTTTCATAGCATATATTGAGCATGATTCCTTCTGTGTATTTATATTCCTCTTCAATGTAAAATACGGCCCATGGAATGATAATTGTGCAAGAAGTCATCCAGATACAAATAATAATTCTCCGTAGTTTTGTAGAATCAAGTTTGTATTTCAACGGTGAACAGATTGCAAAATATCTGGAAAAAGAACAAAGAAATGAATTATGGGTGTAAAATCATGAATTATGGATATAATAAGTTGATTGACTTTGACAAATCTGTAAAATGAAATAAATTAATATTTGTCGTAGAATTGCGTCGCTTAGATATGACTAATATCATGCAAGCTGTCTGTAAATAAAATTTGGAGTATTCCGTTTGAATGATTATGTATCAAAGCTCTTGATATTTGGTGTGTCTTAATCAGCCTGCATGTTTATCAGGGTGCGGAGTGACGTTACCTGTCTACTGCGATGACTGCCAGGGTATTTACGGACGCGCATACAGAGACACCTTGGAGGTATGGCGTCACTTTGCACAAAACAGGACCAAATGGCCAACCTTAAAGAAAAGTGATATTTGTAAACATGTAATTTCGTTATGCAGTCTTTTCGAAAACCCACAAGGCTTAGACCTGAAATACATGTACCTGTTACTAGTATCATGGATATGTATGGGTGTTATGAGTGTTTTAAAGAGTGGTTTGTTCTATGCATATTTATTGCTGGTGTAATATAACACATTTTGTGATTTTGTAAATGAAAATCATATCAATAAATTACACATAAATACGTAAATACAGTTACAATTTTCCAACTTTCACCTTAAAATGGAATCTCTAATAAAAATTCCCGCCATTTATATATCTTTATCAGATATCCCTATAACTGAATCGTGTATGATGAATGTCATATTTATTGTCTTGATTTCTATGAAGTTCCCTTAAGGTATGAAAGTTTATTAATTTTCAAAACTAATTCTCATTTGTTGAGAAATCTGTGACAAAAATTTATGATGTATGTTACGGACAGATGCTCAGATAAACAAGTTGACTTCACATTTGAACAAAATTGAATCCCATCATATGTCATGCCTCACAAAAGAATGTGCTAAAAATTTAAGCATCTTGGATGAGTAGATGCTGATAAAAATACTATGAAAATTTGTTATGCATGGTACAGACTGACGTACGGATAAACAGGACGTTCAAAATGGATTTGAACAAAAATTAATCCCATCATATTGCATGCATCAGAGAAGATTGTGTTAAAATTTCAAGCATCTGCGATGAATAGTTGCTGAAAAAACTGCGACGAAAATTTGCTAATAATGTATGAAACGGACAGACGCACGGATAAACAGGAAGTTGACAATGGATTCAAACAAAAATGAATCCCACCATATGATATGCCTCTGTCAACAAAGAGTGTGATAAAATTTCAAGCATCTGCGATGAGAAGTTGATGAGAAAACTGTAACAATTATTGTTATGTATGGTACAGACAAACGCACGGATAAACAGATGGTTGACGTAGGATTTGGACAAAAATGAATCCAACCATATGACATATATCAGATAAGATTGTGTTAATGTGTTAAAAAATTCAAGCATCTGCGACGAATAGGTGCTGAGAAAACTGATACGAAATTAAATTAGGTACAGACACACAAGAGTAAAACAGTATACCCCCTCTCCTTCGGAGAAGGGGTATAATAAGATATGCAAATAAGATTCAGAAACGTTATCCAATGGAACTTGAGTATTAAGTTACGAGGTACGAGTCTATGAGAAGTGTTTGACTAGCACAAGAAACTTGTTCTAACATATCTTCGGAAGAAGACGCTTTAAACAACGTAAATGATCTCGAAAAAGCCGGGTCAGTCTTGATATACGTGTACAGCGAGTCATTAGCTCCAAGGACAAAAAATAAAAGCAGTTGAATCCAAAATCAAGTGACCAAAATTTTCAAACATTGATGAAAACAAATCGAAAGGAGCTTCTTCCTGTCAGCTAGCAAACGTATAGGAAAAAGTTTCAGCACATAAGTTCATGATTGATTGATTGTATGTTGTTTAACGTTCCACTCGAGAATTTTTCACTCATATGGAGACGCCACCACTTGCCGGTGGAGAGCTGCAAATTTTGTCCTCTACTCGGCACTCAGGACCATTGAGCAGGGAGAGATTTGTTTCGTGCCAACACGGGACATCAGTATATACAGTCTCAGATCAAAACCAATATACAGAATTATGTATCTTAGTATAGTCTACTTGTGTGCAAAGTTATCTTGAAATCAGACCAAAACTGTAAGAGGAGGAGCATTTTGAAAAATTGTTAAGACAGACAGACGGACAGACGTACTACTATCGCATAAGCTAAAACAGCAGTAAGCCATACGAAAATCTTTCCACTTATCATTTGGACAATACCCTTACAAGAAGGAAGAGTTGAAGTCACTTACATCCAAACAGGAATTTTCTCGTGAGAGAGAAAAATCACTAGGCTAGGGAAAAAGGGCAACGAGTCAAAAATACTTGTATAACATGGCCTTTCAAGGAATGGTTTGTTCTGTGGTAAGTGCTTGTACCTTGAAAGTTAACGTTGCATTATATATTAATTGATTTGACATTGATATGACCATTGTCAGCACAAGGTATTTTTTTTTAGAAAGTGAGCTAGCTCACATGCCCCACGCTCCCCCAAAACTTGACGGTGAAACACATAATGAAAGGCACAGCTAGTGCACTTTAAATACATAGTATAGATCAAAAAGCATTATTGGCATAATACAAATCCAAACATTAATTTGAAGTGGTTGGGGGGTGGGGGTGAGAAATTTTCTTGAATAATAGGCAAAACTCTTTGGGATAAAATAATGGAATATGTCCTAAATATCTGCATAGGTTGACGAAACTATGTACAACAGTTTAAGAGGAGTGGTCCTGACAAACTGTTCATCTGTATATTCAAAATATGGCCAAAAAGTCTAAGTTGGAAAGTGTGAAAATTCCTGGAAAAATAAAGGAATCGGAATTTCCTGGTAATATACACAATTTCATATTGTGTCCTACATATCTGCAAAGTTTAACGAAATTCTGTGCAGCAGTTTAT